CGCGATGAAAAACTCTTTTTCATCATCCGTCTGTTTTTTTTGTTTTTTAACCCGAACCAATCAGAGCATGCCACGTAAGGGCTCTCAAGGATTCTGAAAACTCTGAAATGAGAACCGGATTCTGGGTTTTTTATCAATTTTTATTTATTTGTGGGCTTTTGAGGTTATAAACCTCACCCTAAACCCCCAATGTACATGCTGTAAGTTTGTTACCTTTGGTGTGTATAAATTTATGCGAGAGAAAAAGAGAGCACATGGAGGCAATGATCAATCTATCTGTAAAAGATGCATAAAACAAGTGTAATAGTAAGTTGTGCTTTTTCTCTCAGAGCATCTACATTGCAGACGTTTTGTAGGTGTCTTTAAATATAAAATTATTAAAAATTGAGTAAAAGGAAAAAAGAAAGTGTTTTTGGTTGAAATAATGGGGTGTATTGAAATATAAAATTAATAAAATTTGAGTAAAGAGAGGAGATAGTGTATATTTTTGGAGAGAGAATGTCTCGTGGAAGACAAAGTTGGAGAGAGAATTGATGAAAGTTGGAGTGTGTTTAAATATAAAATTAATAAAAGTTGAGTAAAAGAAAAAGAGAGTGTTCTTAAAGTAGTACTTTTAGATAGTGTTCTCAAAATGAAGTGAGAGTGTTTAAATATAAAATTAATAAAAGTTGAGTAAAAGAATGAAAGAAAATATATAAAATTGAATAAAAAGAAGAGAGAGTGTGTTTTTAATATTTGTTTATTTAAAGACATCTACAAAAAAGTGTCGAATGTGGATGGTCTCACTCGTCCAAAACTCCAAATTCTCTATACTCAGATCCAAAACCAAAAGTCCTCTCATTTTCTTTGGATTCTCATTCTCCAAATCCATTTTCTAGCGTGGAAATCCACAGCTTTCTTTATTTTCCCAAGAAAACAAATTTCCACAATCTCTTCTTTAACTTCTTCTTACTCTTGTTTCCCCAATTCTCGTTTGTTTCGTCTCAATTTTCAGATTGAACCCGCGGGAATCACAAACTTCCCAACTTTTCTTGTTTTCTCGAGAATAAAGTTTGAGAATTTAACTTTCTTTCAATGTCATCAAGAGAAGTATCAACGATGATCAAACTTGCAGACCCATCTCTCTCTTTCTCTCCTTCAAGAACTCCGTCCAAACTCTCCTCTCCTCCACCTCCACCGCCAAACGAATCGACCCACTCAAACCCGACCCTTTTCGACATGATGTCAGAAGAGCACAGCCGCGAGCCACGGAGGAAATCTCACGCGCGCGTGGCGCAGATCCTTACTGAGTTCAAGAACGGCGTCGTTTACGGCCATAGCCTCGGGCCAAGCGACGTGAAGCTGACTGTGGTGGGGAAAGACGGTTACAGAGTCACCATAGGAAGGTTTTATCAGAGAAGAGTAGGGGTTTTTCATGAAGAAGATGAATTCTAGAAGAGAGAAAGGAGTTTCTCATATGGTTGAGATTAGTGAGTGTGATGATTTAGAGATCTATGTAGAGACTGTTGTTTTGATGTATTGTGATGAACTGATGATCTCAAGAAGAAGTTGATCGGCGAAAGTGTCATAAAAAATTTGGCTTTACTTAAGGTTATTATTATCTAATTTCGATTTTGATTAGTGTGTTCTTGATTTTGTGATGGGTTTTAATGTGTGATGTTTGGTAGGTTTCTGCGGCTATATCGTTTGATGGAGTAATGTCATGTTTGAAGCATTTGTAAGCTGTTCCTTGGTCAGAAGATGAAGAAGAGATTATTGTGTCTTGTATTAAAGAGCTTCATCTTCCTGATGATGATTTAGTCACTTTGATTCTTCAGAGAGTTTCATCTGAGCCTTCCACTTCCTTGACAAGGACTAGAACCGATGATATCTTTGTGAAACTTCTCACTGGTGTTCTACAAGCCAAAGATGATAAAGCTCGTCGAGAGATGAACGTTTTGATCTTTAAGTTGATTAGAGAAGAAGCTGATCATGATGTCTCCAAAGATACACTTTACGGTTTGTGTCATCGATGTCTCACGTCTCTTGTCCTTTGCTTATCTGAAGTGACTTCACAGATGAATGATCCAGGGAAAGACCGTGGTGCTTTGATGGGAGGAATGGAAAAAGAACGGGGGACAATCTCTACCACTGAAGCTCGAGACCCCTCCACAAACAGTTTCCACCTTTTCTTCCCATCTATTTGTGTCTTTTTATCGGTATCCTCTGCTATAACAACTCGCTCAACTGTTTTGATCCCCTATCATAACAATACCACAGAGTGCATTCGCGCAGTCAATGAAAGATAAATTCGCTGCTGGCTTCACTTGGTAACTGAGATATTAACACAAGATCTGTCAACAGTAACAAAGAAACTAAAACTGTATAGTCCAGCCATATAAATAGTAACAATAATGATTTGGTAATATAGAAATGATCCCAAATAGGTGTCATCACCAAACAGGCAGAAAGAGAAATGCTGAGAAATTTGTGTTCTGTTTTTGATTACAATCCAACAATCTTGCCTGAGGGTGGAACACTTTATATCAATACAAGAAAACTATAACTTAAGAGTAAAAAACATAAACGGGGTGAAACACTTTATATCATGCAAGAAGAATATAACTCAGAGTGCATGAAAATTTGATCTACAAAGTCATAAGCGACAAAGTTATTTATCGTTTCAGATTATATCTTATACAGAAGAGGAAATTTTCAAGCAACTCTGTAAGATAGTAGCAGTTTTGAAGTCACTATGATCAATTGACTGAACAAGGTGTATGATAATTACTATTGTCACTAGATCAAGAGTTAAAAATATAAATGTGCCAGAGACTATGATTTGACCTGATAGTCCAATCGGATATTGAGGGCATCAAAGCTTGATATGCAACCTTGAGCAGCTTCATCCTGTGCAATTGCTTCTATCTGCCAAGTCATCAATGAAAAAGGAGACTCAAATCAAAATGCACAAATAGCAAGAAAAGAGAATGACAAAAGAGACTCAAATCTTTACAAAACCAAAAGGATTAAGATAGATCAAACTTGTACTAATCTTTTATAACAAGAAGACAATGAAATTAGATCAAGGAACAAGAACACTAGGCGAACAGACACAAAACAAAAAAAGTGACTTACAATGCCTTTAAAGAATGCAATCTAAGGAACAGAATATTTAGCCCCGAGTTTGGATTGATCATCAGAGACATTGTTCACCACTCCATAACAAACCTGTCCATCATATTGATCTCTACAAGCCTTTAACTCAAAGTGAACATATGAGAGTTCCTTGTTTATCTCAAGAAGATACTTGTCAAATATCTTTTTCACAGCTCCTGCAACAAAAAAGAGCAAGGCAATGTTCAACGAATAACAATTTCCTTTAACATTCAACATAAAGAAAACCAGTAATTCGAAACATCGAATCATTTTTGGATCCTATGCTTAACTCATTCCACATCATGGTTAAACCTAACACAAGTCTACAATAATAAACCCATCAAACATCAAACAACCAGTTTTATTTCAGCCATAGTTCAATATGTTTCTCTGAATCATCCAAAACACAAGTCTACAATAATAAACCCATCAATCCAGCACCATATTGAAATTGTTAAACTAGCTAAAAATTACAGGATTCCAGTATTCATCAATCAAGCAATTATGCCCCCACGATTACATCTCAATCGATATAAAGCAATCACATTTAATTTCCTAAATCTTAAGAGCGGCGGATCAAATTCACCACTTCACCAGTAAAACTGTCGTAAATTACAGATTTTTTTATGCAGCAAAAACCCATCCGAATCATACCCAGAAAAAAATCTACTTCGGAAGTCACGTGAATCGAGGAAATCAGAGGAGAGACCGACCTGGGTTTCTGCCGGTGAAGATTGAATGAAATTCTTTCTCCTTGAGAGGACCTCGTCAAATCAAAGCCTGAATTAGCGTATGGTGCTTCCAGCTAAGCGAAACCATCTTTAAACCCCCAAGCAATTTCACCCTTGCAAAATTAAGGATTTCAGTGAACTAGGGTTTTTTTTTTTTGGGTCTC